CATTTTAACAGGGGGAAAACTGTCTTTAATACGGAAAAAACCTTCTTTAATAGGGAAAAAACCCTCTTTAATAGGGAAAAACCCTCTTTAATAGGGGAAAAAAACCCACTTTAATGGATAAAAAACCTTTAATAGGGAAAAAACACCCACTTTAATAGGGGAAAAAACCCACTTTAATAGGGAAAACCCCATCTTTAATAGGGATAAAACCCCTGTTTAATAGGGAAAAAACTTCTTTAATAGGGAAGAAGCACCTTTTAATAGGGATAAAAACCCTCACTCTAATATGGGAAAAAGTCCTCTTTAATAGGGAAAAAAGCCACTTTAATAGGGGGAAAAGTCCTCTTTAATAGGGAAAAAAGCCACTTTAATAGGGGGAAAAGTCCTCTTTAATAGGGAAAAAAAACACTTTAAAAGAGGAAAAAAACAAACATTTTAATGGGGGAAAAGACCTCTTTAATAGGGGAAAACCCCAATTTTAATAGGGAAAACCCTCACTTTAATAGGGAAAAACCTCATTTTAATTTGAAATTGAGCCTCCATTGGGCTCGCCCAGCCCACGGCCACCGTGGTTTGGTTTTCATGAGATTTTTTGAGTGGCTCTTAAACCCGGCTTAGAGACTTTTAATCTTCGCCTGCCCCGCTGTGGAGCCGCCCTGGTCCCCTTTGTGCCTGCCAGGATTGAAATGCCCAATTGGCGTGGCCATTGGAAGGGTTTTAATGAACTTTTCGGCTTAATTGGCAGCTTAATTGGCAAGCTCCGTTGCCCCCATGCCGGTTACCTCCGGGTACGGTACCTGGGCTTGGCGTGGCTTCGGAGGCAGCGCCAGGGAAAGGGAGAGAGAGGAGGAAAAACGGGAAAACGGAGAGAAAGAGGGGAGAGAAAAACACAGGAATTTATCAAAGAACCCCAACGCGCCGCCAGGACACTCGGAGTCGCCGGAGAGAGGAGAGAGAGGGGGAAAAGGGGATTGAATCCAACCTGGGAGAGCCACTGGAATCCAGGAATCTGGGATAAACTGGGAATCAGGGAAAAACCACGCCAGGGAATTAGGGATAAATGACACCAGGGAATCAGGCATAAACCATGTCAGGAAATCAGGGATAAACCA